CAATAGCTTTGATACTAGTGGTAAGTTGCTTGACTCCTGATATATGTTTGAATATGTGTGTGTAATACTCATGTTAATCTAAGTACATAATGAGCGGCTAGTTATGGCAGCAAAAGCTTCTTTTCTTATATTTACTAAGCACATGTTTTAATTTGAGAGTGATTTCTATAGAATTTTTTAAAAGGTGAAGTATTGACTTACCAAGGGGCTTTAAGTAAAAATGTGAATCCTATTTATCCAGAAAAAAATAACCATTCAAGTTAGTATTACATTTTGGGTCTGGATAATAGTCATATCACAATTTTCTTTCTATTAGGAATTCATGAAAGGAGTCCTGTTTCCCATAGGAAAGCCACAACATGTGTAAGAAATATTGAGAAGTGATTCTTATTTTACCAGAAATGAAAATAGCAATTGAAATGCTAAGATGGAGACAATTTTAATATTACTCACATTTTACCCAACTTTTCCATGAAAAATTATGTCAACTGAGCAAATTTTTATTAGATAAGATAGTGTATGGAGCAATGCTGAGCTAAGAAACTAACCATACACAGTTACTATAAGTTATCATTTCTGGAAGTTATAAATACAGAGTTGGTGCAGGAGACCTAACTTTCTGCCTTCTAAAGATTTTAACAGTAATATTTGGTCATGTAATCAAGCCTCATTAATCAAAATTAAATGCAAATTATTTTTTAGAATAATCCCATTGTGTTTTCTGTTTTCATAACTGTGAATTTTCTAAAAAATAGCTCTTGAAATCCAACCTGAATTGTCTTACTTCTTTTTTTCTGCTTTCAAATTAGGACCAAATTTAGAACCTCCTTTTGTTAGCAATTTCTAGTGAATCGTTTTGTTCCTCAGAATACAAAGATTAAGTATGTATCTTCAGAATTGTATATATCTCTATTTGGAAAATGTTCCCATTTCCATTTTGTGAATACCAATTCTTCAATTAGTGGCAAAATTAAATTAATTAAAGCATTCTCAATAAACAAGGAGGGTAGTTTCCAACTGCCTTCCCAGAAACCTGGAAGAAGTACAACTATTATACATGTAGCACCAGTAGAGGCAGCACCATTTTTACCAGCGATGGGTAACTAGAGTTCTCTGCTCAAGAAGCAATGACCCCAGTGAACTCTCAGCACTAACCTTCTCCTTCAGGGATGAGGGAAGCAAGGAGCTTGCAACCCAAACAAAATGTGAGACTCAGCTCATTGGTGTGGTTTTGATGATGCCACAATTCTGCCCCAAATCCTTGTAACTAGCAAGTTCGCCCTGACGATTATTGAATTACTCCACTGATCATGCATTATTTAAAGGGAAATGCTGTTATTACAGAAGCCATCTGTTTAACCATTCGAATTCTGTCTGTTGGCCAACTTTCAAGATATAGTAGTGCACTGTGTCTACACACATGATAAGACAAGTCAAAACCTAGGCTAAATAGCCAAATTTTATCAATGCTTATTCACTCCAATGATCAAGTGAGTGTGTAGACACTTCATGATGCCAGTAGGACAGAACTCTGGGGCTGTACCTACCTGCAAAAGGAATTATCCCAGTTACCTGTCTTTTGTTTTAGCATTAAGGGAAGGAATTGGGAACTTTTTTTCTACCAAGGGCAGAAATATATGATGATATATATAGCATAATATGAGGGCCTTACAAAATTATCAACTTAAAAATGAGCCTACTATATTTGGTCAAGCATTAAATGTACTCACCCCTAATGCTGTGACAGGGCCAGACCAAATGATTTTGAGGGCCTCCTGTGGCCCCCAGGTGAGATTTCTCCACCCCTGAAATAAAGAAAAAATGTTTTGAGCATCTTGGGGAAGCTCAAATGATTAATAGAAAATAAATTTTCATCTTCTGAGTTAGAAAGTATTCTGACCTCTTTCTTGAAGACCATATAAATGGCTTCCAACCATATTGAACATTTGGCCTGGATGGGTTTTCTTCTGCATTTCTTCACTTGTTACAGATTCTTTGGAATAGAAAGAAAAATAGCACCATGTATTGTGTTCAAACAGGAATACAGTCCTTGCATCTCTCGACAGGTGTTCATACCACCTTTACTGAACTACTTCCAGCAATAGGAAATTTATTACTTTTAAAAGAAGTTTGTCCCATCTTTAAACCTTTGAGTCCAAATTGTTAGAAAAATTTTCTCTTCTATTAAGCCAATATATATTAAGCCAACTCACCTACCAAGTTATGATTCCACCCACTGTAGCCAAATTGCATAGTGTCTGATGCTGAGTTTTTAAAGGAAAGGATAAAACAATTCACTCTATCACATTTAAAAACTAGTAGTAATGACCAGAGCTGCAATTCAGAGGTTATTAAAAAAATTCCCCCAAATTGATACTGGAGCAAATTATGTTACTGCCTTTCTAGTAAACCACACTGTATCGGGTTTCTAATGTTAGCCCATAGCAATAAGTGCCTTTATTTTGTTTCTGGGAAAAGAAGTAATATGAGGCATTTGAAGATAAAGGGCAAAACTTGGACCCTCAACTATGGCCTCTCAGTTGTCAAGAAATTATTTTTTATTAAATATCTTGATATAGAACCAGAAACCAAGCCTATAGGACACTTCAAAGGACTAATTAAACTTTAAAAGGCAATAGGTAAACACTGTTATATTCATATATCACCCAATGAAGGACAATCAGTCCATTGTAGACATTATGAATAGACAAAGAAAAACATCTTTCTAGGATTATGGTAGGATAACTGATAGCTGCATTTATAGCCAAATCAAGTCTTTATATCACTATTTCAACATTTTTAAAAATATGGACATAAGGTGCCTTCTTTATGAAACATTAAAGAAAAAGTCCTGCCAAAACCAGTTTGGCTCAGAGGATAGAGCGTCGGCCTGCGGACTGAAGGGTCCTGGATTCGATTCTGGTCAAGGGCATGTACCTTGGTTATGGGCACATCCCCAGTGGGGAGTGTGCAGGAGGCAGCTGATCGATGATTCTTTCATATTGATGTTTCTAACTCCCTATCCCTCTCTCTTCCTCTCTGTGAAAAATCAATAAAATATATATATATTTTTTAAAATCTTAAAATTTTCTTTCCCTAAATTCATTGATCTGTGGACTAAAAAAAGCACAGCTATTTTATAGACTAAGTCTTCTACACCAGCTGATCTCCTATGGTATGTGGAAACCCTGCTGAGGCTCCACAAGGAGCCCATAGAGTTTGGCCCATCTAAAGCAGCAAACCCACCTAGAGAAGCCACAAACTAAACCCTCACTGAGTTACTACCCTCTGCTGCCCTAAGAATGATAATACTCTTGCCTTCTATAAAGAAGCATCTCTAGGCTCCTGTGCTAAACCCCAGGAAAACATCTGAGTTCTCAGAGAATGCCATCAACTGTTGGCCCTTCAAGCCACAAGGATGCCAGACCAATCTGGTGGTGGGCCATGACCCTGGGAGTTCAAAATATACATTGTGGATTTTGACTTTCAAAACTCCATCCTAAAGAACATTGTCATTATTATACAAAATTTTAATATGTAAAATATAATGCTGTCTCCTGTGTCTGGAGTTAAGATCAAATATATGTCAGATTGATTAATTGGATTCTTCTAGATCAATGGTTTATAAATTTTCCGCCATGAAATCTGAATGTCAGTGGAGAAAACCAGCCTTCCCCATGACCTCCCAAGGGAGTTAAGGGACAGGAGAGAAAGCTGAGACAGGGTCCCCCTGTCCTTGCCTGAGTCAGGGCACTTTTACTTTTGTCTGTTTTATATATTGGTGTATAAGCAAGATTCGATCTTAACAAAAGTTCTACTAGGACAAAAAGCTCACAAAGAAATCCAGGTACATTTTAAGGTTCATGTAAGCTTGTTTTGCCATTTCTTTTCATTTTAGAGCCAGGAAAAGTGTATTTAAATCAAAACAAAATGAAACCACACCAAAATCTACTTGCCAAGAGGTCTAATTGATTTGCAAATATCAAGAGAAATTTGACTCATGGTGTTCCCTTTGGGCAATCCAGGTCACAGGAAAGGTAGACGTTTAGTTCATTCTGTCTCTAATAACTATTCTTTAAGAGGACAGAATTGATTGTTCTGGTCTCTCTGGGGTGATTAGGAGAGGGAGCTCTATCACATCGGTATTGTCATCAGTTCCAAGTTCCAAGGTTTCTGGCTGCAGTCGACAGTAACCCTACTTCTTTACAAACAATGTAAGATCCTGGGAAGGGGTGCTCAGAGGAAGCAACCCAATATTTATTTAGGACCTACTATGTGTCTAGTGATACTCTAAATACTTTCCATGTATTATCTCATGTAATCCTCAAACAACCCTCACAAGGAAGATATCATTAACCCCACTTTACAAATGAGTAAACTGAGGCTCAGGAAGCTTCAATGACTTTTCCAGAGTTGATCTGGGTTAAACTCTTGATTCTACCATTTACTGCAGAATGGCCTACAGCAAATCCTTCCCAACTCCCAGTTTCAGCCTATACACCAGGAAAGTAGGAGTCTTTTCTAGATTTAAAGTCTCACTGATGCTCATACAGTGGAAGCAATTAAGCAAAAGAGCAAATATTTGAGCCATCCTGAATATAAAAACGATGCAAATTTTCTAAAAAGGTTAAGGAAACTGAATGCATTATCCTCTTTTAATTAATATTCCTAGCAGCCTCAGCCAATATATAAGGAAAGATTAGGATTGGGTCATACAGTTTTTTTGGTTAAAGTTTGCTGAGAACATAAGGAGAACTAACACAAACAATGTTGTGAATGAGTTAGTGTAAACGAGTGTGATACAGGTTCCTGGAGACATACTAGAATCCAGAAGGATCTATAGGGACAGGAATTGGTAGAGAAGCTTCAAAGAGAGGTTCACATACAAATGTGTGGGAAGATGAGGTGTGGGGAGAGGAGCGTCTTCAGAGTCTAGATGGAACCATGAATTTGGAAGATTCCACTCTAAAGCCAGGCCACTCTGCACTTTATTTGTACAGACAAGCCCTCAGGGTATGGCGCCAATAGTCGGAGGGCAATTCAGACAGGAATTGTGGACGAGTGCTGCTTCCGAAGCTGTGATCTGAGGAGACTGGAGATGTACTGCGCCCCGCTCAAGCCTGCCAAGGCAGCCCGCTCCGTCCGTGCCCAGCGCCACACTGATGTCCCCAAGGCTCAGAAGGTAAGCCAGCTGGAATGGGATCCCTCCATCCTCAAGAGATCTGGGTCATATATGAGTGGGTGGGCCAAACAGTAATTATGTCCCCTGAGTGAACAAGAAACCAAGCCTATGGGACACTTTAAAGGACTAATTAAACTTTAAAAGGCAATAGGTTAACACTGTTATATTCATATATCTCCCAATGAAGAACAGTCAGTACTAAGGCTTAGTCTCTTGTTCTAGAGGTCAAAATAGCTCCATTCTCACCCTAGATATCCATCCCTTTGGTCACTCCGCATTGCAAATTCTCTTTTGCACTGCTCTGGGCAATCAGATAACAGAAAGTGGTGAAGAATGGTAATAGTTACCTCATCAGATCGCTGTGAGAATTAATTTACTGCACATACAGTGCTTTCCATGTGTCTGCACAACACAGCTGTTAACATCTGTCACAATTGTAATTAAGAATAAAACCTGGAAACTTTTAGGTCCTGGTATTCTGCAAAGGTATAAAATAAAGCACAACTCTAAAATGGGAACTATTTGAAATTCACAACCATTGGCGAACATAATTAAAGAAAAACATTAAAAAATAGAAATTTGTTTAACTTGAAGAATACCTAGAAATTTCTAATGACCAAAATTTTCAGGTGTCTTTTTTAAAAGCTAGATTTTAAGCAAACCTTAGAGGTACTATCTCTGCCATCAAAAGCATGTAAATCACCTAATGCACGTTTGTCACCTGATAAACTTTTGTTGCATGAATGAATGAATGAATGAATGAGTCAACAAGTTAATGTAAGTGATTAACATTTTAGTCATGAGGTAAAAAGAATGAGAACTAAAGAGAAGGTGAAGAATGAAGAAGAAAGAGAGGAAGGTTGAGTAAGGAAAGTGTTTCCTTGGGGAACTCTGTTGACAAAAGGAAAAATCAAACAAAACAAAATTTAAAAAAATACCACCTGTGGTTTTAATCTTTGGAGCCAAGACTAGCATACTGCAGAATGCCCAAGATGAGAAACCAAGATGTTTACATTGACACCTTTGCTGCTTCCTGGTCATAAACTGCAGCCAAGTCTGGAGGACCATGAGGCTGAGCAAAGATGTGACTCCAGGGAGCTACCTTGAGGGGTGGAAAGAGACCCGGCACCACTTGGTGTCCAGAGAGCACAGCAGCCAATGGTCAGGGAGCAAGCATCACAGAAGTTACTTCTAGGTGAATGAGACAAGAAAGTTGTGCTGGGGATGGTGAAGGCAGGTTAATTCTCTTTCTTCCCAGGTGACCCAGTGCCTCTCAATTTCTAGTTGGGTAGAGTGTGGGGATATAAGATGAGTCCCAAAGTTCTGGAATGTTGGGGCTGGTGACTGAGGTTAGACACCTGTCCAACACCAGTGCTGTCTCCCGCATCCCATGGAGCCTAGGCATTCTGGGCTGACTCTAAGGCTGTCTTCGGGGACACCAAGGAGACCACCTGTTCTCAATGACATTATTTTTGTGATGTTTACAGTATCAGCCCCCATCTACCAACAAGAAAAAGAAGTCTCAGAGGAGAAAGAAAGGTGGGCCAAAGAAACACCCAGGAGGGAAACAGAAGGAGGGGATGAAAGCAAGTCAGCAGATGAAAGGAAAGAAGAAAGAGCAGAGGAAGGAGACTGGAGCTAGAAACTGAACACAGAAGCAAAAAGAAAAATGGAGGAGAAGAGCAGGGAGGGACAAAGACAATGAGAGAAAGCAGACAGCAATACAGAAAAGTGGGAAATGCTATAGAGGAAATGAAGAACAGTAGCTTAGTGGAGCTAGTTAATACCTGTGATTGAAGGATTGAAGGATTCTGTTATAGAATGTGGCTATTAAACATGGAGAAAATGGAAACAAAGCAAGTAATTCCTAAGAAAGCCCAAAGAAAGACAGTGGCAAGAATGAAAAAAAGAAAAATTATAAAAGAGTCAAATAAGCCCCAGTTCCTTCCCCCCCCCAAAAAAAAATTAAATAAAAGAATTAAGATTACAAAATCAAGGCTTTTATATGCATTTAAAAATTTTGTGTTAATCTATTATAGAAGAGTTACTCATGTCAAAATATATGTCCAGAGTTAAACAGTAGCCTCAAATTCTCCACAAGTCTGAATTGTGTCATAGAAGTTCCCAGGTTTCCTTTCCTGCAATAAACTTGGAGGCTGCATGTCTTAGTCAAGTCCAGGTTTGGGCCGAAGGGCATGCAATATTTGCCTAAAGGCGTGTGATGCCTGTGAGGTAACCTATAAGAGAAGGTCACTGAATCTTTTTTTGTTTGGGAATCAGACATATAATAGAAGATGTATTAGTTTGCTGCATTAGGGCTGCCATAACAAATACCACAGACTAGGTGGCTTAAACAACAGAAAGTTTTGTCATGTACTTCTGGAGCCTGGAAGTCTAAGATCAAGATGTTGGCCAGGTTGGTTCCTTCTGAGAAATATTAGGGAAGGATCTGTTCAAGGATTTGTTCCATGGCTTGTGATTGGCCTTCTCCCTGTACCTTCACATCATCTTTCCTCTATGCATATCTTTGTGCTCAAATTTCTCCCTCTTATAAAAACAATAGTCATATTGGATTAGGGCCCACTGTAATGACCTAATTTTAATTTAATTACCTGTATGTTGACTCCCCATCTCCAAATACAGTCACATTTTGAGGTACTGGAGGTTGGGATTTCAACATGTAAATTTTGGGTTAAGTGACACTATCCAGCCCATATCAGGAGACTTCTGATATGTGACTATTGTCTTATGATTCCATCTCTTTGAATACTCTCTGTTCCTCTGTTTTTCTCTCCCTTACTTTCTCTCCCAAACACACACATATACCCCTAGATTTTTACATCTGAAATCTTAGGTGTTTCAGCTCTATGGAAATTCTAGAACCATGTTATGAGCTGCAAAAGGCCTCAGAAATTATTTAGTTCAATCACTCCATTGTAAAGATAAGGATACTGAGATCCAGAAATGGGTAAAGATGTGCTTGGGTTCTAAGAAGCCCTCCTTCTGGCCAGCAGAGAATAGCACATAGTCAACATAGACTAATAAGAATTACAAAGGGAAAAGATGGGACAAAAGTGGCCACATTAAGTCTCCCACTAATTTAATATTTTCCCACCAGAAGGAAGGAAGTAAATAAGAGCAGGATTGCTGGATTTCCCTCAGGGTAAAGAAAAGCTCAGTAGAATCATAGAATGTAGGTCTTAGAGATCTTCTCCTTTACCTTTATTGATTTAAACAATAGGTTAGGATCTTCACAGATAATAAAGCAAAAAGTCTCAATACCATCCAAATGACTGATTATAAAAGTTGAGAGAGGGTAAGTGTACAGCCAAGGAAATAATGACCCTTGGGAAAAGGAGATGACTAAACCAAGAACCAAGAAGCAGATTTCAGCAAGTAGATTACTTTGAAGATGTCATGGTATAAAGAAACCTCCTTTCTGCCTGGTCCTTCCTTTACCTTCCAGGCCTTCTACTTCAGGGCCATTCTTTCTCCATGGTTCATTGAAAATCCAGGCTATATAATATATGGATATGTCCAAGGCTCAATCTAGGAGGAAAAGGACCCACCAAAAGCATAGCGAAGCCAGAGATGGAAGCCAAGCCACTAGTGTTGTGGTTGCAAAGTGAATTCTGGGTTATCAGCACAGATGAAAGCCAGCCAAGTGCCTGAGCTCATGTGGCCAGCCAACTTATCCAGGAGATGCCGAATACTCCTGCTAAGACATCATGCTCTGGGACCAGCCTCAGATACATCTACTGTGACTATCATCTGAAAGTAGCCAGCAAACACAGATGGCTCTTCAAGGGACCACAGTTGAGCAGAAGAATTAACAGTTAATGTCCTATGAAAAGGTTCCTTAGAGAATTATTTGTTCCTTCTTTCATTGATGAGTGCATAAATGTCAACTATAAATCAAGACTTTGGATAAAGTATAATTACACCCAATGACGAACTTCATCCAAAAAGAAGACCAAGAACATCAAAAGAAAAAAAAAACAATAGAATTTTCTAGTTAAAGAATGTATAACTTCCAGATTATGGAAGGGAAAAAAAGCAATAGAATTTTCTAGTTAAAGAATATTTAACTCCCAGATTATGGGTTAAAACCCACTTCTTTTTGGAATGGGTTTTTATCAACTCTAAAGCAATTATCTTGAATGGCTAGATATGACTTCAGAATAATATGAACTAAGTAAATAGGAAGAATCTGCTATTGTCTTTCCATCTCCCCCTACTTAGTATCAATACTAAGCACCTAGTGATACATGGTATATAATGGATGGATGGATGGATTGGATGGATTGGATGGATGGACTGATGAAATGGGTGATCTAGTTAGATGAATAGAGGTGGAAAGGCAGCTATAAAAATACATAGCACTGCTGAGGTAACATGATTCCTCTTGTCCTTGTGCAGGATGGTGAGGCAAGTTCAGAATAAAGAAAGAAAGAGCAAAGGAGTTGTGCTCACATAAGTGTTGCATGTTTATAATTTCCTTGTCTAGCCACAACTGAAATCATTCAAGAACCTATTTCCAAAATTGGCATCTGCCACCTTTAAAATCAAATGTACTTTATAGCAAATGCTATGTAACTATTAGTCACTTCAGTGTTTTCTTACAGTAGGCAGTGCAGTAGCCATCATTAAAAATTCTACTATTTCAACTGTTTCTCTTAGAGAAAATTGATAATTATGTGTAAAACTTATGCGAATATATAGAGAATCAGGATCCTGAAAAAAAATTGTTGAAAAAAATTTTTATTGAGCACCTACAATGGGCAAACCTTTGTACTAGGCATGAAGGAGAATTATAGAGCTTGTAGAAGCAGTAAAATGTAGAGGGTTACAAGTAGAGAATGTGGAATCAGACTGCCTAACTTCAAATGCTGATTAGTTTACTAGTGGTATGACCTTGGACAAATGATGTAACTTATTTGTGCTTCAGTTTCCTTATCTGTCAGTTGTAATCTACTTGATTGAATTTATCTAATTGAATC